CAGCGGGCGAGTCTAAACGCACAACAAACTCTTTCAGGAAACCCTGGCACGCACCAGGTTAGCTCTGCGAAAGCCAGGAGGCATTGGAGGCACAGGGGTCCCAGACAGCTCCTAAAAAAAAGGGGGGGCGATGGCGCTGTGGCATGTGCAATATGGGATGTGGCAACGCATGTGCGCCCGCGCGTTCACCCGCATGGTGCTTGCTGTGCGGGCCCGCGCGGCCTCCCTATACAGGTTGCAACAGGCATGTGGCGTGCATGTGCCGATTGACAGAAGTGCTGGCGATGTCTCGAATACCTCCCGCTGTGCAAGGCATGTGCGCGCATGTGCGTCGAGACTGTGCGTGCATGTGCGTATGATTGGATACACCAAAAAACAGCGCACATGCCCCCGCCACATGCCCCGGGCCACGAGCGTGCACAGTAGGAAAGGAAGGAAAGAAAGAAAAAAAAAAAAAAAAAAAAAAAAAAAAAAGAAAAGAGAAAAAAAAGTCCATACCAAAAAAGGGCCTCACAAAAAAAAACCAGAGCAGAATCAAGAAATAACACAGACAAGACAACAAAACAACACAAGGCCTGGCACATGATTGGCACATGCCGCGCACATGCGCGCACATGACAGCGCAAAAACGGCCGCACATACACCCGCACAGGGGTATAGATGTGAGTGCGGTGTACTAAACGATTTGGTGATTTTATGATGCGCGGTGCTAAAATTCTTAAGAAGCCCAATGGTTTTTGGAGATTTCGGCGCGCGCGCGCAAAAAACGAATGTGTCCCGCATGATATTATTTGACAGGGATGATGGCCCTGGCAGGTGCGCAACCGTTGTCGCAGAAGTTCGAAAAAGTTGCTCGCAAAAGCCCGTTTGACAGAAATGTTTAAAAAGTGTTGGGTTCCCTACGAATCCGCAAGAGCGCGCGGGATGAGATTTTGACATTTTTTTGTTGAAAAACCATTGGTTTTTGATGTTTTTATGTTAAAATCGCTCCGAACACTAAGCTTTTGGAAGGATTTCGTCTTGCGCGCGCGAATGTCCACTTTACCTTATTTGTTGCAAGGGATTCTTGAAATTTGATTATATTATAACAAGAAATGTCATTTTATAGTGTTTTTTGCAAGGGAAAACGGATTACAACAAAACAACCGGATCTGGACCCCATCCACTTTTCTGAAGCTTTCGCGAAAAAATGATGAAAATGTGCTGCGGCCTAGGCGCGGCGGGGGGGCCGTGCACCAGGGGTCCCAACAATAATTATTCTTTAGAATTAATAATGTTCAACAACAACAACAACAACAACAACAACACCAACACCAACACCAACAACAACAACAACAACAGCAGCAACAACAACAACAACAACAACAACAACAACAACAACAACAACAACAACAACAACAGCAACAACAACAACAACACCAACACCAACACCAACAACAACAACAGCAACAACAACACCAACAACAACAACACCACCACCACCACCAACAACAACACCACCAACAACACCAACAACACAAACAACAACAACACCAACAACAACAACACCAACAACAACAACAACAACAGCAGCAACAGCAACAGCAACAGCAACAGCAACAAAACAACACCACCACCAACAACAACAACACCAACACCAGCACCAACACCACCAACAACAACAGCAGCATCGGCAGAAGCAGCAACAACAGCAACAATAACGCTCCCGCTCGAGACTTCCTTTTTTTCATCAGGGGTGGTGCTTTTGCTCGCCGCCGAAAGCCGCCGTCACAACAAAACAAGTGCTCCCGTTCGAGACTTCCCCCCGTTTTACCTTGGACTGGCGCGCTATTCGTTCTCTCATCGGTGCCGCCCCCAGCAAAAACAACGCTCCCGCCCGAGACGTCCTCATTTTTTTACTCAAGGCAGTGCTCCTCCTCGCCGCCGCAAACCGCTGTCCCAACAAAACCAGCGTTCCGTCTCGGAGCTTCCTGCCGTTTTACCTCGGACTGGCGCGCTACTATTTCTCTCATCGGCGCCGCCCCCAGCAAAAACAGCGATCCCGCTCGAGACCTCTTCATGTTTTACTCAAGACGGTGCTCCTCGTCGCCGCCGAAAACCACCGTCCCGACAAAACCAGCGCTCCCGCTCGAGACTTCCTCCAGTCTTACGCTGGACTGGCGCCCAACCCTCTTTTGATTTGGCGCCGCTCCCGGCAAGAGCAACGCTCCTGCTCGAGGCTTCCTCCCTTTTTCCGAAGGACGGTGCTGTTCCTCGCCGCCGACAGCCCCCGTCCCGACAAAACCACGGCTCCCGCTCGAGGCTTCTTCCCTTCTTACTCAAGGCGGTGTTCCCCCTCGCCGCCGAGAACCGCCGTTTTGCTTTACGGTTCTGCGCAGGACTAGCGGCCCTACTCTCTTCGGCATTGGCGCCGCTCCTGGCAACAACAGCGGCCGTGCCCGAGACTTCCTCCCCTTCTATTCAGGGCCAGGTCCTTGTCTCGCCGCCGACAGCCCCCATCCCCACCAGGGCAGTCAAGTGGCTCGGTCCCGCATCGGCGCAGCACGGCGCGGGCATGTGTTTTCGAGGGCGGGATATGTTGAGATTCCTCGGGGGAGGTGTTTGCAAAACCTCACTGGGCGGGAGATCTGGGAATGAGAATAACGGGCCCCGCGGTAGAAAAAGAGCCCCCCTAATTATGAGGGGGATGGTGATCATGACGGTCGCATGCTTCGTGTGGAAACATCGCGCATGAGGGTAAACTGATTGTTGTTGTTGTTTGTTGTCTGCACCCCCGCGACCCACCAACGACCCACCCCACGACCCACCCCGCGACCCAACCCGCGACCCACACGCGACCCACCCGCGACCCACCCGCGACCCACCCCGCGACCCACCCCGCGACCCACCCGCGACCCACCCGCGACCCACCCCGCGACCCACCCCGCGACCCACCCGCGACCCATCCGCGACCCACCCGCGACCCAATTGCGACCCACCCCGCGACCATGACCCACCCGCGACCCACCCGCGACCGATCCACTTTGGTTTCGTTGTATAGTTTGTGAAAGTTTGGCGCCTGCGGCGGGCTTCTCCAGAGTCTCGCAGACTGCCGACGTCCCCGCCCGTCCCTCACACTTATCCGCAGGTGCAGGGTGCAACGTATACAAAGGTGGGAGGGAGAGCGTTTTGTGGACGTTTGCTTGGAACAAATGCATGGACACGTCGGAACCGTCCCGTCCTCCCTTGGAAGCCTTTGAAACGCTCGGAGAATCGGGGGGGCCCGCCCCTCCCGGACACCAGCATCTCAACCTGTCCACCCCCCGTTCCAATGGGGCTTGTCCAGGGAGGGGTGGGAGTCGCACCGCCCCGCCCCCCCCTTCCCCCTCGTAGTAGAAGCCTACTAGTTCTCGACCAAGCTCTGATATAATCCAACTACAGCTGTGTCCAACGATAATAGCAACTTAGTCGGGTTCGGTCCAACCCTACTGGAATCCGACTATGGTTGACAACTCTACTTGAAACCTACTACAGCTCGATCTAGCTCGACGGGAATCCTACTGTAGCTAGATCCACTTTTAAAAGCATCCCCGTCTGACTGAATCCAACTCTAAAAGAATTCTACTGTAGCTGGATCCAGTTGTAATTCGATCGCTCGATCAATATCACATGGAATCCTATCATAGCTAGATCCAACCTAAAAAGAACTCTATTAGGGCTTGGTCCAGCTCTCAACGAATCTTATGAGGGCTCGATCCAGCCTTCATGGCATCCTAGTACTCGATCGTCGTCGTCGTAGTTACCCGACGGCGCCGGCGCTGGCGCTCGCAGTCGCCGGTTGCCACTGGGGAGGGAGGGCCCCCCCCAAGCTCGACCCCCCCCTTTGCAATTCAGGCCCCCCCGGTTCGAACCCACACCATTGCATGTCAGCGGGGGGTACCACCCAGGTTCGACCCTCCCCCTTCCCAATGTACACAAAACGCGCCCTTTTCGCACATGTATAAACGCATTCAAATCTACATAAGTATATACATGTAACTGTATACACATGTAAACAAAAGAGAAAAGAGAGAGAGAGAGAGAGAGAAAGAGAGAGAGAGAGCGAAATGGAGAGAGAGAGGGAGACAAGGATATATGATGGTCTATGGTGTTTGGATGCTGTAATGTTGATGTTCGATGTTTCGTGGAACCTATGATCATGTGCCTGGACTTTCGGATACGTCTGAAAGCAAGGCTGGCTGTGGGGAGAGGGAGGGGTGATGAGGCTTTGGAAAGACTTTTGTACGTTGCCGGTGGCGAAGGGAGAATGGAAGAGGATGGGAATGGGTGGGGGACGGAGGAGGAAGCGGAGGAAGAGAGTGGAGAGGGCCCAGGAAGGAAAAACAAGGAACAACGAGGAGGGATGAGGATGAGGATGAAAGGACGTGGGCGAATGCAGGGTCGGAGAATGAGGAGAGATGAGGGAACGTAGATGCGAGAGGAGGAGTTCAAGTCAAATGGCCCTGGGAGAGGAGGAGTTCGAGTCACATGTCTGTACGACGTGATATTCTTCGGCAATGCGACATGCTTCTCCACGTACATTGCGGCGCTCTCCACACCGCCCCTTGAGGGCCTCTGGGATTACAGCAAGAGCGGATGTTCCAACAGACGGGGTTATGCTTTACAGGTTTCCTCTGATGCTTCCGGTCTGATCTTCAGCGAAATCGTATTCAAGCTTCGCACGTGTGCGGCTACTGTGGCAGCCCGCCGGATCGCCAGGCTGCGGCCATGGGGCTGCGCCATTTCGCTGAAGGTCTTCATCGTACTTGCTGTTGAAGGTACACCTGCTGTCAGGATGGATTTTGTACAGTGCAGGTCGCAATCTTGACCCCGCACTTTTGCCTTTACCTCAATTCGTTAGTCTGCGGCGGGATGCTCCCCTGTACTGGGACAATGCACCGTCCCTGGGATATTGCACGGCCGGCTACCCGATTTGAGGCTTTTTGAGTGGTTGGGACGATTCTAGCTTCTTACTTCTACCCTTATGGTTGTGGTGTAGTACCAGTTAACCGGGACATCAAAGTGGCCCTGGGAAAGAACCTACTCACACTAAGGGGTGTGCCGTGAACGCTTCTGGGCGTCGCATTGCGACAATGATATCGGGCCATGCCCATGCTGGGCCCCTCAACGGGTGCGATCCGCACGAAGGGCGGACAGCACATAGGCACGTACCCCCACAAGGACCAGCAACTCACGTCCTCCCTCCCCCCCCACCCGACCCACCCGTCCCAATGAGGAGCGATGATGAGGGCGGTGGGAGGATGGAGCCGTCCAACCTCCTGGATCTCCACTCCCGCCAACGGCCGAAACAGAGGCTCTGAGCAACCACGGCCTTCCATGCCCTTTGCGATGCGCTTGGGGTTGGTCACCAGCAGGTCGTCCCCAACGACCTGCACGTCCTTGCCCACGGCATCCATGAACAGCTTGTACGCGTCCCAATCGTCCTGCGCCATCTGTTTCGACAGGAGAAAGGGTCTGCCCCCCTCTAGCCGTTCGGGGCATCCTGTTCCCTCTCTCCTACCTCCTACCGAGGAAGAGGAGGAGGAGGAGGAGGAGGAGGAGGAGGAGGAGGAGGAGGAGGAGGGGGAGGAGAAGGAGGAGGATGATCATGAGGAGGAGGAGGAGGAGGAGGAGGAGCAGGAGGAGGAGGAGGCGGATGAGGAAAATGAGGGGGAGAGGAGGGGGACGAGAAGGGAGGAAAAAGCAGGAGGAGAAAAGGGGAGGAACGAGGAGGTGAGGGTAGGAGAGGAGGAGGAGGGAGGAGGGAGGAGGAGAGGAGGAGGAGGAGGAGGAGGAGGAGGAGGAGAAGAGAGCGAGGAGGAGGAGGAGGAGGAGGAGGAGAAAGCAAGGAAGCAAGGAGGAGAGAGCAAGGAGGAGAGAGCGAGGAGGGCCGAGGGAGCCGCCACAGCCCACCACTTGGGGCATGGCAGCCTGGGCACCCTCCTTGACCCTCCACTCCCTGTCCGCTCCCCTGACACGCGTGTGCTTTCCCAAGAGCGCGGCTCTTGGGCGTGGCCTAGGGGGGGGTCATCAATGGGGAGGTAAGAAACGGTCCCCTTTCGTGCCTCTTTCGGGCCCCTCCGGAGGCCCCAGACGGCTCGTTTAGGAACCGTTTGGGTACCTTTTTGGACCACCCTCGCCACCCCCTCCCATTTTTGACCCCCCCCCCTTACGCAACGCTCAAAGCTCCCGCTCCCCCCCACAAGCCGGCTCGGAAGCCGCGCCTCCGTGGTCATCTGCTCCCCTTCTACAGGTAAGCTGCTGAAGTATAAGAACCGCTACATAAGGAGCGAGGCCCCTTTTTCGGCACCCGAAGCGCCTGTGCGCAGGAGGAGGGCTAGAGGAACGGCAGAAATGAATGAGGAAAAGCGAGCCCCTTCGGAACCCGAACCAGTCCTTATTTCAGCGCCCTGACTGTATCCCTTAATCCCACTCCCCCACTCCCCTACCCACGCCTAGCACTCCTGCCAACCCTTTCTAGGTGTGAGTGGTTCAGGGTGTTTCCACTTCCAGCTCCCCTTCATCCCCTTCGAGGATGGGTTTACCCCTCACCCTGCCCGTCCCGTGGACCTGGATGCGGGGGGGGGGCGGGGTCACGATTCGTTGGATCGTCCAGGACGGCCTCTGCGAAAATGCGCACATCGTTGATTTTACATACTTAAGTGGTGGCAAATGTTAGCTTCATGGAGGGAACTCTTTTTGAACCCCCTTTCTTTGATCGATCTCGTCCAAGATTGCCCCATGACGGCCCACAAGGGCCCCAAGAGGCGCCCAAGAGGCCCCAAGAGGCCCCGAAGAGGTCCCCAAGAGGCTCCCAGGAGCTCCCCAAATGGCCCTAAGAGGCTCACCCGAAACACCAAAGACGCTCCAAGAGGCCACCAGGACCGCCAAGAGGCCCTCAAGACGCCACAAAAAGATTCCGAGACGCTTTCAAGAGACATCCGGAGAGACTCCGAGACGCATCCAAAAGGCCTTTGGCCATTCTGCTCGCTCTCCTTCTCCTCCTCCTCCTCCTCCTCCTCCTCCTCCTCCGCCTGTTACTCCTCCCTCCTTCTGTTTCCCCCTCCCCCTCCCCCTCCCCCTTCTCCTCCTCCAATTCCTCCTCCATCCTCCCCCTCTTGGGGTATGGCGGCCTCCCCAACCCGTCATTTCACTGCATGCTCCTCCACATCCCTGATCAAGACAACTCGCCTAGGCATCGTTTCTGGACGGGCTGGGGGGGGGGTTACGCGAAGCGTCCAGAACTTCTTCATCGTCCTCCAATTTGCCTACGCTCCACCACCTTCGCCCTCGTTTCCCTCCACTCGCCCTGCTCCCCGCTGCCCGTTCTGTGCCCGAGAAGCGCCTGATCACTCCCCCACCCTTTCTCCCGCTGCTGCCCTCCTCCCACCCGTCCGTCATGAAGCCGCACCTCCCACGTGGAAACAAAGTCTGGTCGACCTGGCCCCTGGCCCTCAGCGTGGCCCACGAGCGCTCCCCTCCCCACCAGGCGCGCGCAAGCCCGCCCCCCCGTCCTCGTCGTCCTCTTCGTCCTCAGCATCGTCCTCATCCTCGTCCTCCTCGTCGTCCTCCTCGACGTCCTCCTCGCCGTCCTCATTATCGTCCTCCTCGTCGTCCTCATCATCGTTCTCGTCCCTTCCTCCGTCCTCATCATCATCTTCCTCGTCGTCCTCCACGTCGTCCTCCTCCTCGTCCTCCCACCGCTCATGTCTGCCGCACACGGGTGTCGCTTCGCCCCCGCCGGCGCCACGGCGAGAAGCGCACACCCTCTCCGCCGCGGGCGCGGGAGGCGGAGGGAGGGGCACACTGGCGCGCGCCCGCGGTGGCGGGGGTGGCAGGATCAGCCAGCATTGAATTGGTACAGTCGGCCCGCATCATAAGGATGCGCGGTGAGGATGCAAGGGCTTGGACGCCGACTTCGAAGCTCTTCGAGCGGGGCGCGGCGCCAACGAAGGTGGCCCAGGATGGGCCGAGAAGGCAAGGATGCAAGCGTACCATGGGGAAGGTTGCCCGTCCTTACTGTGCGGGTGGACTGTCAATCGGGCCGACTCGACGCGTGCCTCGGATCGGGCTGCATCGGCACGGCAGCGACGAGATGCACAACGACGCCCTCCAAGAAACATCTGGCCGCCTCGCATCCTCCGGAACCTTGGAATCTGATCGGATCGGGCCGAACAGCATCGCCATCATTGGAGTCCCGAAACGGTACGGTGACGGACCGTGCGGTGACCTCGAAATCCCCCAAGACCTCACCGCACGGTCCGCCACCGCACGGTTTTTGGGACCCTGGAGGCCCCTGTCGCCCGAGACATCATCCTCGGAGAGGGCCTCGCGTCCCCAAAGCCGTGCGGCGACCCCGGAGCCCCGCTGGCTCACCGCGCGGTGTGGTCGCCGCCCAGTTTGGGGACCCCCCGCCCCATCGCATCGCATCGACCGCATCGAGCTGGACCCCCGGGGCGGGGCCGAGAGCGCGCGCCGCCCCGCGGGAGGCCAGGACGGCGGGCGCGCGCGCGCGCTCCGCGCGCGCGGCGGCAGCTGAACACCGCGAGGGGGGCGAGCGAGCGCGCGGGCGGGCCAGGCGGTGCGGAGCATCCTCGGGGCCCACAGATCTCGAAGGCTTGGCGGGCGAGGCCGCGGCCTCGAGCTCTGCGGTGGTCGGCAGCGGCACGGCGCGTTTCGCGGGATTGTGAGCGTCTTCGGATTCGGCGTTTTCGACACTGGGCGGAAAGGGGGGGGGAGAGGAAGGGGGGGTCTGGCTCCAGACCTCTGCTTAGTGCGACTGTTTGCAGCAGTGCGTCCCATGGGGGAGAGGCCCCACCTGCTCGAAACAGGCGTCACAAACAGCCAAGATCTACTCCATTGGGGGGGGGAGGGGGAAGGGGGGGGCGAGGGCCCGCGCCAATCGGCAAAACAACGATTAAGAGAACGAACACAATTTTGTATTTTTTTCTGGTTCCTGCGCCAATGTTTGTCCGATCCCGTCGCCGCTATGTTTCTGGCTCCGCCTCTGGCTCCAATTCAGGAACAATATGTTATTGTCCGTTTCGGCGAGCCATTTTTGTGAACCGTTCTCATCCTCAATAACAAATGTTTAGGAGACTGTAGAAATACGGACCTGCCGTTTCCAAGATCCACAAAAGTCTCGATCTGCACTGCCGTGTGCCGAAACATGCACGTGTGCTGCTGGATAACGACAAGTGCTTGAGATATGGAGGAGGAAGGAGGGGGAATCCTTGTAGTCGGCGTCCTCGTGTGGGTGGTGCTGAGCAACTGAGTGTGTGTGTGTGTGTGTGTGTGTGTGTGCGTGTGATCGACGTCGACCCGTCCACCGCGCCCGCGGCCGCTGGCGCCGCCGATAAAAAAGTGTGTGATCGACGTTGGTGAGGCGGGGGACATGGAGACGGTGGGATGCGTATGTAGAGGGGGTGGGGGCCCCAGAACCCCGAAGACCTCGCAGAGCCCCCCCCACCGATTGAATACAACGTCCTGGATCTTCCTCCCGAATCCTCCTCCTCCTCCTCCTCCTGATCCTATTCCTCCTCCTCCTCCTCCTCCTCCTCCTCCTCCTCCTCCTCCTCCTCCTCCTCCTCCTCCCCCTCCCTCTCCTCTTGTCTCTGCCCCGCGGCCTGCGTGCGAGGCACCACGGCACCAAAGTGAGGCCGGAGGCGCGGGCGCGCTGGGCGGCCGAGTCGGATGATGACGTGGACCTCCTCCTCCTCCTCCTCCTCCTCCTCCTCCTCCTCCTCCTCCTCCTCCTCCTCCTCCTACTCCTCCTCGTAAAGAAGCGCCTGCGCTCCACGTTCGGGTTAGGTCGGGCAAGTCCTCCGACAGGCGGATTCTTGCAGAAACTCAACAATAGTCAAACATCTTTCAACAGTGCCCAAACAGAATCAGAAGCTACTCCCCTGATCACTCCTTTCTTTCTGACAAGTCCTCCTGCAGAGGGACATGCCCGACTCAAGGTTAGGGGGGGGGCCTTCTCAGGGGGGGGGGGGGGTGGGGGGGGGGGCGCAGCAGCCACTGGCATTGGGCTCTCCACCGCCGACAGATCAGCGATCGGCCCGCCGGGTAGCGGATCCCCGGCACGCTCCTAGGGCGCAGGGCGGCGCGTCGGGCCCTGCCGCAGTTGTGAGTCCGCCCCCCTCCTCCTCCTCCTCCTCCTCCTGCTCCTCCTCATCCTCCTCCTCCTCCTCCTCCTCCTCCTCCTCCTCCTCCTCTCAGGTCGGGCATGTCCTCCTACAGGCGGATGTCTGGAAGAACAGTTTAAATAGTTACACAATGCAGACACAGCAAGAACACACGAACCATCGTCCCCAACAGTTGTTAGCTTTTCTCGAAGATTCCTCCTGCAGAGGGACATGCTCGAATTCACCTGAGCCCCCCCCCCTCCCTGACGTCCCCCCCTGGTTCTCGTTGGGCGTGGATTAATTAGGGGGGGGCGATCAGTAAGGGAGGGTGAACAAGTTGCCCTTTTCGGGCCCGAGAGGCCACCTTCTGGGTCCGAAAGGGCCCCTGTAGAAGGCCTAGGGGCCCCGTTTCGGCAGCCCTCGCCGCCCCCCAGGCTAAGCGGGGCGGGGCCGATGGCGGGAGCCTGCGGCGCAGGTCCTGGTCGAACGGGTCCTCGATCGACACCAGCGGGTATTTGCTCAGCCAGTTCTGGTAGCCCGCCGTGGCCCCAAGGGGAGGCGCTGCCAGTGGCGCGAGCAACTCCAGCTCCGAGATCCTCCCTCCTCCTCGAACTCCCCCTCTTCAACCTCCTCTTTTTCGACCATTCTCCTCCTCCCGAGTCCGCCCCCTCCCCTATCCGGACCACCTCCTCCCCCGCCTCCTCCTCATCCTCCTGACCACCTACCAAACCACCCCAACCCAACCCGAAGACCCGAATTTGACCCGAATTTCGGGTTGGGGGGGTAACGGGTTCCACGTGTTTTTTCGATGTTCCCCGACCCCCCCCACTGGAAATGGAGGGCAAATCGTGGCCTTCGGGTTGGGTTGGGGTGGTTTGGTGGGCGGTGACCTCCTCCTTCTCCTTCTCATTCTCTGTCTTCTCATTGCCAGTATCCTCATATTATTCTTCTTCCTCACCATGCATTTGCACTGGTTCTTCCCGCTTCCCCTCCGTCCTCCCTGGGTGGGGGGGGGGGGCTTCGCCAATCTGCGTGACTTAATGCTCGTCGAGGAACAACATTTGTTTCGGACTCACCCGCCCGAGGTTTTCCCGGCTGCAGGGCTGGAGTGGGCGGGGATTGTATATGTCTGGCGTGCGGTGGGTAAAGGCACGTGCCTCCACGAAGCCTCTCGCTCTTCGGCAAGCGTCGGCTTGACGTCATCTTGCGCTGTCGCGACCTGGCGCACCCGCCCCTTCACCCCCCTCGCCCTCCTCAGCCTCGTCCCCCTCTGCCCTCATCTCCTCCTCCTCCTCCTCCTCCTCCGCCTCCGCCTGCTCCTCCTCCTGCTCTCCACAGCCTCTCATCCATCCTCATCTTCCTCAATTTCCTTTATCTCTCCCACTCCCCCTCCAAACTCCCCCTCCTCTTCCTATCCTGATTCCTTATTCGTGTATCCGCCAGCGTGCCCTTGAGGCACGAGTTGGAGTGTCCTCAGGACAAGAGGGCTCCGAGAGGCCCCCGAGACGGCCCAAGGAACCTTCGAGGCGCCCCAACAGCTTTCATAAAAGCCCCGAGAAACATGAATCATTGACTTTCCGCGAAAAGTTCTGACAGATTTGGGCTTTCTCGCCTTCCCGGCTTCCCGACGCTTCAAGACAGCTTGAGAGACCCCCGAGATCGCCCCAAAAGGCCGTCGCGAGGCCCCCCAGACGGCCCAAAACGCCGCAAAACGACCCACGAGGCCTCCAGGACGGCCCACGAGGCCCCCAAGATGGTTCCAAAACTGACATTTCGAGTCTTCGGCCCCGAAAAGGCCTTCAGGAGGCCCCACAAGGCCCCCCCCCAAACCCTCGAGATACCCCCAAGAGGCCCCCAGGAGGTCCCAAGAGGCCCCCAAGAGGCTCCCAAGAGGCCTCCCAGAAGCCCTCGCGACGCTCCCAAACTATCCCCAAGATGCCCCGCAACTGCCCCCAAAAATGTCCCGAAAAGGCCCCGAACAGACGCCAAGAAATAGCCCTGAGGACTCCGCCCGACAATCCAGGCACGGTGGCGGGATGGGCTGAAGGCTATTGCATCCGCCGCCCTCTGCTGATTCATCACATGGGTGCCTGGCGCGCCGGCCCCGCGCAAAGCCGCCGAAAGGGACCGGAAGCGATCTCAACGTCCTTAAAGATGGCCTCTCAAATTGTCACGTTGGCCCAACATGGCCTCCACGTTCGCCCAAGATGGCCTCCAAAACGGCCCGTGAGAGTTCAAGATGCCTCCAAGTTGGCGTTCGCTTCTTTTCGGCCTCAACGACGGCCCATGAA